ACATGTATTCAGCTAGTGTAAACATATGCACCATGCTATCACAGCGAATGCCAGGCTGAGACTGAAGCGTTACCCTATGTTTCCGCTGAGAGACTTGCCCCGTGACTCATTTCCCAGTGTGCACAAGTTCTTAGGTCCGCGTTCATGGTTTGACTTCTGAGATTCAGATCGAGTTCTAGGTTAAAAAATTTCGAACTGGTTGGTTCGACTTTTAAGAAATTCGAGTTCTAATGAGTTCGAGAACTGAGGTACCACTGTATTTGCGCCTCGTCCAACCATGTGTTACCTTCATGCTGTGCTGCATGTGAAAGGAAAGCTACTGTACACTATATATGTATTGTGCAGTGGAGATCTATTACTGCTCTGAGTGTTAAAACACTAATAGTAAGAGAAAACTAACTGCATGTTATTAATAATCACAGTCGCCATAAATAAACGCTTCAAGTCCGCTAAACGCCCATTCGCTTTGCACGTGGTTGTTATTCAAGGGAAAAAAAACTGAAATGTCTTACAAATTCAGACTTCCATCCGAATGCCCCCATGTTTAATTTGGGCTCCACAAAACATTAATGGAACAAGCTGGAACAGTCTCCGCTGCGAAATCAGACAAACCCTGAATCTGCACTTACTTACAATGTGCAATAACAGACCCATAAGGCACAATAGTGAGGACTGTCAAGTCTGTTTTATGTCAGACTGTTTGCTACTTATGAATGACAGATGATTGCTGACAGTCATATTCCTCACGTCACCTGTATTCCTTTCTGAAGGTTCAAACGACCTTCAATTACTGCCACTGACCTACCCGCTATTTTACAGGAAAAAAATATTATTTCATACACTTAAATATAAGCAAGTCTTACTCAAACTTGCTAGAAGTCAACCTATTAGACGATATAGGCGACGGCCTAGGGCGCCATCTTCTGAAGGGGAGCCGGTTTAGCAAACTGTACATTGTCATGTAGAAACAGTTTATAAAAAGCATAATGCCTGCATTTCCTGAATCAGACACCAGTCGTATCAACAGAAACCTATCAATTAAAGCACATAAGTTTGGTTCAACCACATAACACATTTTGCGTTTATACACCAGATACGACACTTCGAGTGTCACAAACCACAACCACTAATTGGGGAAATCTGACATCTCAAGTGCTCAGAGCCCTTTCGGAGATACAAAAAAGCAACAGAGAGTTAAGCATAGAGAATAAAGCCACATCCCCTACCTTGTCTGACAGTTCTGAACTCCACATGGTGCTTGCAATTTTTCATCATTGCCAATACGTCATATAGGGGCAATCCAGGCACCAGGAGTCCCTCAACTTCCAGTATTAAATCTCCCTCAGCCAGCCGACCATGCTGGTAAAGCACATTGTCTTCATCAACTTCCCCAATGTATGGAAACTCGCCGATCTCAGCTCCGCCGCTCAGTTCCACGTTATACTTCCCGTGAACGTCCCTGGATACCAGGCACTCCCTAAGCCTGGAGGTCCAATGGCTTTTCTTCTGTATTTCTTTGGACATGGTCAGAAGAATCTTTATAAAAAGCAAATAGTCCAGCGGGAAAACATAAAACGTTACTTCTCACTTATTAATCAGAAATAAGGCAGTCATACTCCGACGGTCCGCTTTAAAAAGTGCACGGACTTCCAGATCAAAACCACATGTTTGGATTTTTTGTTTCTCAAATTTAACATACTGGTTGTTTCATCAAAGTGATCTTAATCCAGTTTGTGCCTCTTTGGTTTTCCGTCATTAACGTTCACTTTTTATGTACTTCCAAAGTATTCCCTTTTCTACCGCAGACGAAGACTTTCAGTTCTTTCTCTTGTAAAATATTTGCAGATTTCACCTGTGCGCTCAGCTGGTTCAAGGCTCTCCGCCGATCGCGGCTCCTTTAAGCAGGTACAGCGCTGTCTGTTATGTTAGAGTTCATTGTGCTCCGCTGGTTCCTGAAATTGGGATTAACTGATAGTGAAGGGGACGCATGCGCCCTGCTGCGCTCCCGGGGCCCTGGAGCAGATCCAGGGCTTCACCTTTCACTGGGTCCTAACGCTCCAGCCTCGATCCAGCAGTGCAGTACGTACACGTCCTCGGATTCATTCTGGAGGAGGAGAGAATATTTAGCAAAAGCAAAAATTTCACTTCTAAATTATAAAATTATTAGAAGCGAAAGTAAATCGATTCACACTGACAATAATAATAATAATACGCGTAATAATCCATCCCTTTTGCAACCACTTGTCATGGTTAATAAAAATAATAATAATAATAATAAAAAAATAATAATAATAATAGTAATAATAATAATTATTATTATGTGATTGTTAATATTGTGATGATTATTATTATTTTAGATTTTATATAATAAAAATAGTAATGATGATTATTATTGTTTTTGTTCATCTGTTATCTATTTGTAATATGTAAAAGGATTTACATTATATATATATATACATATACACACACACACTCACACAAACAATATAGCAATTGGCATATATTATTGTCAAAGCTTCCATTCTTATTTAAAAAATGAGTTCTAACTTGCAAATATGAAACTGGAGATAGATATGCTGTGAAAATGACTCCTTTAAACCACACCGCTTCCTCAGTAATTATAGTACACATTACCAGTTTTGCTCTGTCAATCATTGATTAAATTTCACATTTCCCATGCATCTATAGTGAAAGGCGATAGGTACTGTAACAGCAGGTAGGTAAAATATCACAAGGAAAATAGCATCCACTAAGTAATTTCACTATAATATTTTGGTTTGTTGTTTTGCAAATTCTTGAAGTAGAAAAAAAATGAAACAGTGAGTCTCCATGGAAGAGTATTTTTTCTGTTTTTCTGCAGTTACTATCTAGAGGTTGAGTATCAGTGAACAGTATATGTTTGAAAAATATACCAAAATACACTCAAGTTTTACATGCTGATGTTTTAACACCATACAATTCTGACCTGCAGAAGTATTGAAGTTCAAACTGTGGCTTCACCTGAAGATACAGGTTGGAGATCAGTATACTTTTATTGATTGCAAAAGGACCTGGAAATTCAGGGGTTGTTTATTTAAGCTCTTAATCATTTACTGAGAAAGCAAGCAACGTGGAAACAACTTTCACACATCTGAAGTCTATGCTTTTCAGCTCTGTAATGCCTCATAGTCTTTCATCAAATGCTCTGGTAATGAAATGTATGCAACCCCTGTTGCTGGGGAGGGGCAACCAAGCTCAAAGTCGGCCTATTTATCAGATGGTTTTGAGCATGGTTGCCCAGTGAATGGTTCTGATAGACTGAAGAGCATAGTAAGTATTAGGAGGATAGGGGAAGGCAAAGCTGAAAAATAATTCAGTTGCTGACTATGGGCGGGGGGAGGGGAGGGGGCATAAACCAAGTATTATGTAATTCTCCTCGTATTATGTAATTCCAACGACATAGAAGTTCTATAGAGGTTCCACAGCAGTATCACCTCGGCATTTACCGTGTCCATCTTTGGGGGATTTTTTTTTCTGACTGCCATAGACGCCTTCTAGAACATAAGGTCACAACTGCGAGGGGCACCATGACTGGTGTTTACGGAGACTGGAGACTCCCCCGGGAGTTTACTGACAGCCACACAGTACTGCTATTGTTTCTAAACAATCTGCGGAGAATTGCCTGGAGAATAAAATGGTGGATAAGCAGCTTAATTGAACATAAAAGTGATGAAAACTAATTTCAGATTGCAAACGTATTTCATTGTATTATATACTGACTATGCTAAGGGATTAATTCCAAGGACTAGTACATTTAGTGATTACAAGAAGCAAAGCTTTTCAAGCACATCGTTGTATATTAAGGTTGCGCTGGTGCTCTTCTACAACAAAGAATCCAACATTCCATGTCAAAATGTATACATTTTTATATCCAGCTCTGTTTGTACTGTAATGCTATACTCCACCTTTTTTCTCAGACTACACAAGTGACCATCATTCAAGGATTTCAGGACATAATCGATTTACACCCCTCACAGAACCAGAATTATGTTGTATAATTATGCAGAGAGGAGAGAGGATGCAAAATACCTTCTGAGGTGATATATAAAAACTTAAAAATACTACTTTGCTTTCATTGCTCCTAAGTTCAGGCATATTGCTGAGTGAATGTGTCCAGTCTTCATACGCTGATTACTTTAAATTTAAAAATGTTACATGCTTTGCAATAGTGTTACATGCTTTGACCGCATATTGTATATAATTAATCATGTGTCTCACAGGGTTCTTACGGACTTGGTTGTTTTCATTTAGTTCATACCTCCAGGGTTGGGAATTTGAATCCCACCTACACTCTGTGTGTATGGATCTTACATGTCCTCCTTGAATAACATGGGTTCTCCTTGTATTGCATTTTGTATGGACTTCCTCTGGGTTCTCTTGTTTCCTCCTGCAGTCCATAGACACTCATTTAACTCATCTAACTCAATTAATTCATTCATTCTTCTCTAAATTCCCTGTAGAGCAGAACTGTGTGCCCCACTGGAATCCCATCCAGATTGTCCCATGCAATGTGCCCTTTGCTGTCTGGGATGGGCTCCAGTCCCCAGACCCTGACCAAGATAAACAGTTAGGAGATGAATGAATTATTGCCAAGGTTGTGTAGAGTTCAGAAATTATGAGTTGTGTCCCATTTCATTTATGAACTGGAATTAGAATTGAATTAGCCACACCCCAAAGAATACTGATTATGAATCTGAACTGGAAGGCAGAAAGAAGAATTTAATTTATTTCAATTCAAAGAACTTTAATGATCACACATGCCAATCACACAACACAAGAATGTCATTTAATGTAGCAAAACATAAATAATTACATAATAGATTTACTTTCAAGATGAATGATGTATATACTGTGCTAGTGTATGTGTGAATGGTAAAGTGTGCTTTATATTTGCGTGATTCTAAGAGAAAAATTGTGCATAAAGTTTAAGCGATTCCACCAATATACATTTGCTTTATGTTGGCCCATTAAGTGCTTTTCCATGGACATATATTTATTGTTTTTGCATATTTAACTATTGATATGTATTAGCCTTTTTTGTGTATGAGCAAATGAAAGCATACTTGGCAAAAAGAATTACTGTGGTAATTTCACATAGTACTTCCTTATGTGCAGAGCAACAGAACCAGGGGTCAACAACATGGCAAAAAATATTGATGGACTTTGTGATCAAAATGCAATTTTTACCCTACATAGATTTCTTTTTACCACAGACTCATTAGTTCATATGCAGACAGGTTGATTATCCCTGTTTAGCACTATACAAAAAGCAAAACATCAAGGCAAATGCAATTATGCTTTATTCCAATACACATGATTCATTGTCCAATAATGGTACAGTTAATCAGCAAAAGATCTTCAAAGGTTTTATCATGTGAAATACAACATTTTGGCCAGTTACACTGAAGATTCTCCCAAAAGTTGTATACAGTAGGAATATCCGCTGACATCATAGGCAGCACTGAGTTTTGGGGGGAGATACTCAGCTTTTAAACGACACTTTATTGATCCATGTGAGGAAATTCTCTTTTCGCCCAGCCCAGCTTGCTCTCCATGACACGCAGTCACACATTTGTAGGTGAGAGCGAGCTTGGCAGTGAAGGGCAGCCATCTGCAGCAGCACCCATGGAGCTGGGGGTTAAGGATCTTGCTCAAGGGCTGACAGACATGAATATTCTACTGAGACTCTAAGCTGCAACCTTGCGATCAGAAGCATAGCCCCCAACTGTGAAAAGATGACAGCTAAATTGTTTACTTTATAGGTGTATCCTGTCCTTCTCAATAACATTACCGTATCTTAACATGTTAATGTGTAATTCATATCGAAATATTAATAATAAGACGTAGGTTTTTTTGTCCGACTCGACTGTTCCGACTCAGCTGTTCGGACATCTAGTGGAAGTTCATTCCACCACATAGGTGCCAAAACAGAGAAGACCCTCAGCGCATGTCTCCTTGTGCCTTGAGAGATGCTGGGACCAGTCAAACGGTGCTGGGGGATCGGAGTGTAATGCAGTGCGTGGTGAGATAAGTTCTTTAAGTGAGGAGGATGCTGGTTCATTTTTGGCTTTGTAGGCAAGCGTCAGTGTTTTGAATCTGATGCGGGCAACTAGAGGAAGCCAGTGGAGGGACCGTAGCAATGGTGTGGTGTGGGAGAACTGGGGAAGGTGGAAAACGAGTCAGGCAGCTGCATTCTGGATCAATTGCAGAACATCCTTTAAACATATTACAAAATTTATTGCAAGCACAAACGCCCTGGAAAGTCTGGAAAGTTTAAAAGGGCCCATAATGTGTTCCAACCTATTTAAGAAGCTGAACAGGTGTGCTTAATGTGCTTTTCACATTTTCCAATTAGATTAAAAACGGAAAGAATTATTGGTTATTGTTGGCTTTTAATCTCCGCATTTTCCTGAGATTCACATGTACATTGAATCCAGGAGACTAACATTCTATGTTGTAATTATAACTTATTGAAATGTATGATTTTCATCACACTAATGATGATAATTTTGTCAGGAAAAACCCTTCAACCCAACTCCACCACTCTACCTGTGCCTTGCACAGGAAATTAAGAGACGTAAACAGTGCTTTGTCTGACAGGAAGGAAGACTGCTGACCTCACTTACAAAGGTCGGAAGCAGAAACATTGCGTTATACATGCTGTGCGTTTATCTCAAAGCTGGCTGTTTGGAAGAGATCCTGCTGAGGAAATAAATATGCTGTGATCAGATTTTGGGCATGGAAATTAAAATAATTCTCTGATCATTAGAATTACTAATACTGTGCCAATGTTAAACCCTGCTGTGAGATGCTAGGACCTCAACAAGAAAAATGTAACTGCTGTGCTACTAAAATGGTGAAAATTAGTGTTAGATAGTCCAACAGGAAGAGCTGTTGTCTTAATCACGGTCCAGTTAGAAGCCTGG